ACTCCAGCCTGTTCTCACTGTCTCCCCAGATGTGGCGGCACAGCTGGAGCCATCCTGACCTGTCCCCTGGAAGTGGTGAAGACACGTCTGCAGTCATCCTCATTGGCCCTGCGGCCTCTCTGCCTCCCTGAAGTGCAGCTACAGGGGCTGAGCGGGGGACTTGTGCGTCCAGCCCTCCCCTCTCCTGGCGTGCTCCAGTTGATGAGGTGAGCTGGGGAAAGGGTTACTCGCATGTGTAACTTGGCAATCCCAGTAGTTCGGGCTGGGGGAGTCAGAGCTGAGCACGCCGAGGGAGACAGGTGAGAGGTGGAAGTGGGTTTAGAGATGAAAGCCATAGAGAGGAAGAGGCATCAGGGCACAGGGTGTGTTTTCTCATACATCATGTCTCTCTCAGCTCTGTGGGTGTGTCTGCACCACGGTCACACCCAGGGGTGGCCCATGTCGCCTGACTCAGGCTCACGGAACTGTTTAATTGCAATCTAGATGTCCATTTTCGGACTGGACTCTGTGCCTGGGAGCAGGCAGCAGCACACATGGGTTGAGAACCACCGCTACAGCCCTATATGGTATAACTACTCTGCTCCGGGGTGAGAAAAGGCCACCCCGAGGAACAGTTATACCAACCTGACCCAGGTGTAGACAGCACTGTGTCCCTGGGAGAGCTTCTCTTGGGAGAAGCAGCAGCTTTATTGATGCAGGTAGATTGGAGAAGCTCTTGCTGTTGGCATAGTAACATCCTCATCAAGGTGGCCAAACTGAGCTTGAAAAGGAGATGGAATTTACCCTGAGTCCAGGAGGGGGCTACAGGAGAAGCTGCAGCCCAGAGAGGGTGGAAAGGGTTTGTGGCCTGGGGAAGAGGCATCTGACTAAACTGAACATCTGGGTGGTGGTGTTCAGATTTATTTGTTCATCTGCTGAAAAGGGGTGAACCTGGAGTGGAGGTAGGGCCTCGGGCAGAGCTGGGGGTTGAGCAGTGAGCACCCCCTCCCCCACTGGCAAATTTGAAAGGTAGTGCCTGTAGCTCCCGCCCCGGAGTCAGTGCCTGTGCAAGGAGCCCAACACTCATTTCTGAAGAGCCGTGTGCCGCTCCAGAGGCGCAGGTTGGCCACCCCTGATCTTCGCTACAGCACAACAGTGGCTCTGCTGTGCTGGTGCTGCACTGATGTGAAGATGAGTCCTGAGGCAGCTTCTGGGGCTAGGAGGAAGGAGGCCAGGAGAGATGCCAAGAGGAAGGGAAAGCAGTGTGAGGGGCAGGAGGAACAGGAGAACTGGCAGACTGGTCCCATTCCTCCTTTGATTTGATTTGTTCCTTTCTTGCACAGGGCCATCCTAGAGAAGGAAGGGATCCGCTCCCTCTTCCGAGGCCTGGGTCCCAACCTGGTTGGAGTTGCCCCCTCCAGGTAAGAATCACGTAGTGAGGACATTCCCCCTCTCCAACAGGGCCTCACAAAGCCACACCCGTCAAGGTCCTTATCAGTCAGTCCCCACTGTGTCCAGGCCCCAGATACTGTCCATGGGGGCACTTAATGGAGGCCCCTTTACATGGCCTGTGAGGCTGCGGGTGGCACCTGGTGTCAGGTGTGGATGTTCTGAGGCATCCTCAGTGCAGGGTCTGTCTGGCGTAAGTTATGTGAAGGCAAAGTCCCTTCATGCTCTTTCCTCCACATGGATCTTGGCCTCTCATTTTCTGTTTATCCACATCCTTGCTCGCCTCTTCAGTATTTCTCCAATTTACCTCCACATCCCAGAGTCTGTTTATTCACCCCCAGCTGTGACCTTGGTCCCAGCCTCTCATTGTCTTCACATCAGTGCTACTCCTCTTGGGTGAGTTTTCACTCCAAGTGTGCGTCTCTCCCCAACCAGGGCCATCTATTTTGCTGCCTATGCTGGGGCTAAGGAGAAGCTCAATGTTGTCTTCGTACCCGAGTCCAAGAAAGTTCACATGCTCTCGGCAGTCTGTGCAGGTGAGCTTCTTGCATGATGGATTAGGCCAGTGGACCCATTTAGCTTGAGGGCCCTGTCTGATGCCACTGCTCTGACTGTCCTCATTCACGTAATCACCTCGTTTCTTCAGTAGCCCTGCTGATGCGCTTTCTCCCACCCCATCCTGCTCAGTAGTTTCCTAAGTCAGTAAAACTCAACAGGAAACAGTCCTCTGTCTTAATTCACCTTACGTCCATCAGCCACTCAGTGTCTGCTCTAGGCAGGGTCAGGAGCCAAATTAGCAATCAGCATTACCCAAAAAGTCAGTCCTATGGCTTCATTGTTTCATTTGCTAGATTGCTACCGAGTCATATTTAAACAGGATGGCAGGAAATACGTAGTTTTTATATTTTTTTATATATATTTCTCATAGCAAAATGACTGACCTTAGCATTTTATCAATGGCAATTGGTTAATGACATAGTGCAAACTTATTGCAAGTGGTTAATAATTAAAGTGCATTATTTTAATACTATGTGCTGGAAAAAGCTGCAGGAGACATGTTAAAGAGCCACTTGTGGCTTGCAGGCCTCAGTCTGAGTATCATTGGCCTAGGTCTTTGATTGCCTTGGAAAACAAGACTCCCTACAGGAGGTCTCCCCTAGAGGAGACCCGCACACACCAGCTCAGCAGTCCTGCTGCCTTTCCTGCTCTTGTTGTCTTCCCTTTTGCTAATGAGACCCTCCACCTTCAGCAGACCTCATTGCTTCCTGCTGCTCCCTCCAGATTCAGCCTCCCTCTTTCTGGTTCCAGGCACAGGCACAAAACGAGGCTATAATCATTGTGATGATCTCTTCTGACCTGTAGGACGCAGGCCTTAGATCATTTATAATGTGCACCTTACTTGGTATCTGAATTTGTCTAGTTTCCATTTCTAGTCGATGGACCTTTCTGTGCCTGACTAAGGAGCTCATTATTAAATATTTGTTCCCCATTGTGGTCAAGTCACCCCTTAACCTTCTATTTGTTAGTTTACCAGACTGAGCTCCTGGAGTCTCTCACTGTAATGCAGGCTTTCTGAGCCCTCATTCTCCCAGTACATTCCAATGCATCAGTCTCCTACCAGCAGTGGTTGCACCATTGCCAGATACAGACGGGTGGCCCCAGTAAGGGAAAGCAGAGCCCAACAGGCCTCTCCTTAGAGCTCTTCTCCTCCAAAGGACCCCTGAACTAGGGATGTTAAATCCCACTTAATTAGTTCACTGATTAAACATTAAGTTTAACCAGTCAACAGATTAAATTGGGTAGGTGGGGGGGCTGGCCTGCAGCAGACCTGGTAAGCCTTACCTATGAAGGGTGAGGCTTACCATTTAACTGGTCAACCAGTTAACTATGAACCTGAACTGGGTCCAGATTGATAAGAGCTGCAGATTAACTAGCATTCAAAGAGCGAACTCCCCACAAGCTGTCTGCACTGTTGTGTCCCCTCTCCGGTGCCTGGCAGACCTCTGAGCTTTCCCCTTCCACTCCCTAGGAGTCACCTCTGCCACACTCACCAATCCCATCTGGCTGGTGAAAACCCGGATGCAGCTGGAAGCCCGGTAAGGAAGGAGGCACGTGTAACACAGACTGCATGGGGCTGGCTGGGACCTCCTGACAGAACATGTGCTGCCAGGCTACTGTGGAAAAGTAAACGATGTTAATGAGCTTCCCAACATAGCTGTGGGGTACCCAGGAATAGGAAGGGCTGAGTTTTAGCAGAGTGGGGGATGTAGGGTTGATCCGCGTTGAGAGCTAGTGGCACAGTTGTGTGCATGCGTGATTCTTATCCCCCTTGATCTCTGCAGGGCAAGAGAGGAGAAGCACAGTAATGCCCTACAGTGTGCCATGCGAGTGTACCGCATGGAGGGTCTGCGGGGATTTTACCGGGGAATCAGTGCCTCCTACGCTGGAGTCTCTGAGACAGTCATCCATTTTGTCATCTACGAGGCCCTGAAACAACGGCTGAGGGAGCAGCAGCCACTCCTCCCCGCAGCCCTTGCATTTGCACCCAACTGCCGTGATTTCTGTGGTCTCATGGCAGCTGCTGCCATCTCCAAGACATGTGCCTCTTGCATTGCATACCCACACGGTGAGCAGGTTCCCCCACCCCCACGCGCCTGCTGGGAGGAGCCTGGCCTGCAGAGGGCTCTCTAACATCCCATCCCTTTGTTTTCCCAGAGGTCATCCGGACACGGCTGCGAGAAGAAGGGTCCCGCTATCGCTCCTTTGTGCAGACCCTGCGGCTGGTGGTCCATGAAGAGGGACCCCTGGCTCTGTACCGAGGACTCCTGGCCCAGATGATGCGCCAGATCCCCAACACAGCTATCATGATGGCTACCTATGAGCTGATCATCCACTTGGCCACCAAAGTGTGACTGCACAAGCACACAGCCCAGCCCCTTATTGAGGTTGCTGGTGTGCACAGGAGACCCACAGTTTTCTGACTTGACATGTGTTCCTGTTCCACGAGGCAGTGCTGTTTCCTCTGTAGCAGGCGGCCTGCGTGGTAATGAACTTGGGTGTGGCAGTCTGCCCATCTGCTGACAGGATGCAGTGTTCTCAGGCCAAAGAGCTGGTTCTGGGTGGAGTCTTCAGCTCCACTGGGGGCTGCGTGACCTCTAGCATCAGCCTCCAAAAAGTGGTAACTGGTCTGATGCCCTGAGGAGTCAGTGAACAAGCTACAGTGTGTGCAGCGGGGCTCCCAAGGTATGGAGTTCAGGGGAGAAAGAGACAAAGGAAGATAAATAAATCAGATTTATATTTATAGTAGAAGGATTTCCCAGTGTTGCTCGGGTCCTTAACTCAATTTTTGTTTTCCTTTATTTCAGTCATTGCTGTGGGTGGGGCTGGGGGTGAGGGGTTCACTGTGCAGGCTGCCTCAGGAGCGAGAACAGCTCTGGCCCTCACTCATCACAGCAACTTGGGGCCAAGTGAGAAGAGTCTTTCCAGGGTAGCTCCAGTGGGCACAGCTGGGGGAGGGGCACATGTCCCCCAGCTGGGGCAGGTCCAGAGTCATCTGCCCTCTGTGCTCCCAGCCAGAGTGAGGAATGCAACAAACTGAACATTTGCCTTGCTCCCTGACATAGGGGAAGAGCTCCCCTACCTTCTCTAGAGGGTGCAATGTGTGGGGCTGGAGCAGTCCTGGGAAGGGGGAGCCCCCAGCCAGCCCCTTTCACTTGCTTGGGGCTTCTATCTCTTTTCTGTTTGGTTTTATGAGAAGCAATCCCATTCCAAGCACATCTCATTGTCCTGGCACAACCAAACCCTGACCTTGCTTTAAGTGATGGTAAGCGGAAGCTGCCTAGTAAATTTGGTGGTCCTAGCTCTCACCATTTAGAAGTTCTTGAGCACACTGACAGACACACAAACTCTAATATACAGTAGATGCACAAAAAATAAAGGGAGGCAGGATTCCAGTCTGACTTACAAGCAGCTGCGTGGTTCAACCCTTCCAGCATCTCTAGTGGGCTAGTCCCATCGCCTTTGTGCACATGCTAGGAAGTAGGTGTATAGAAAAGTGCCACTTCTTTTGGGCCTGGCCTATCAGTAGATAGGAGGAGTAAACAAATCTGAAGGAAACAATATAGCAGAGCTCCCAGGAGGAGACCTTTAACCACTCCTTGGGATTTTACACAGAGTCGGGGTCTCTAAACCAAGTACTCACCCCTACTGTTCTCCTCCAAAAAATTCTAACAACCCAATACAGGCATCCCCAGGGCATGATGCTTAGCAGGCATTTTGCATCATCCCGAGGGGAGTTATGAGTGTGCTAACCTGTGGAAAGAATCCAAGAGCAGAGCAGTTAATGGCTGTTTCCCCTCTGTGGGAAGGTCAGGGCTAGGTGTTAGAAATCAGCCCCATGGGTCAGGAAAAAAAGGGATGCATCCTGTCCTGGGTAGCTTGTGTTCCCACAAGTGCCCTCTATCCCTTCCTTAGTTCTGTTCTCTGCAGGAACGTATCTGCAACAGCCCAGCTCTACCTTCAAGAGCTGCTGCAACACTAGAGACAAATACAAAAAAAACAAATGCTGGATGCCCAAGTGTGAAACCTACTGTTCTGGGCCTGTGAATAGGCACTTAGAAGGTGGATGTGGATAATGAAGTTGAGGGATTTGTCACTACGCTAAGGCTACGTCTACACTGGTGACTTCTTGTGCAAGAACGCAAAAACTTGCCAGGTGTCTACACTGCAAGCGCATTCTTGCGCAAATAAAGCTACAGTCTACCATCTGAAAACAGGGCTTCTTCCAGAAGAGTTATTCCTCTCCTCACAAGGAAGAAGCCCTTTTGTGCAAGAGCTCTTACGCAAGAGGACAGTGTAGACAGGCAACGTAAATTTCTTGTGCAAGAAACCCCTATGGCTAAAATGGCCATCAGAGCTTTCTTGCGCAAGAGAGTATCCACATTGCCATTGACACTTGTGCAAAAGCACATGCCAGTGTAGACGCACTCTTGTGGAAGACTTTTTGTGCAAGAATTCTTCCGCAAAACAGTTCTTGCACAAGAAGATACCAGTGTAGACGTAGCCTAAGAGTATAGAAAAATATGACTCATGAAAATATCAAATCTGTAACTGAAGTACTACTCCTACTACCTCCTTGGAGCTACTGCAGAGGGAACAGACTGCCTAAAACTAAGGCCCTACTTTGATGGATAAAAAGCTTTCTGTAGCTTTCAGCTGCCTCACTGCAGGCAACGTTGTAAAATCACACCCTTTTGCCTAGAGAGGGCTACCTGCTGCCCTTTGAGCATCCTTTCCACCTCCTGCCTCTCAGAATGAAGAATCCTGAAGGCTGTGGGTGTGTTTATTTTAAATCCTTTTATTTTAAAATCCACTTTGTTCCCACCTCCTTTCACTCATTTAGGGTTATTGACAACTTTACAAAGCGACACAAGCTGCAGGTTTTTGTGTTTTTTCGCATCGAACAAGAATAAACCTCAATGACAACATTGAAAAAATATACAATATATATAATAGGTGGGGGCCTGCAGCTGACCCCACTTGCTCAAACCTTGCTGGTGGGTATTTCCTTCCCCATGGTTTCTAAGCATTCTACTTTCTCCCCATAGGGCCCTGCACTATCCTGTCCTCAGGAGGAGGAGGGGCCTAATGCTCGAGGGCGTGGGAAAGGAGCCCCTGCCCCAGCCTGTGGTGTTGGGGAAGAAGAGAGGTTTAGAGTATAAAGTGCCCTCCCCCGGGCACTGCTCCTTTGTGAAAATGGCAGAGGAAGAGGGCGTAGGCAAGAGAAGGGGTTGAGGGAAAGGAATGTGTGTACGGGGGTGGGGAAGAGGCTATTCCCCCCCTCAGGCTGCATGGTGGAGGTGGGGATCTTTCTGGTTAGCATCCTGGCTTCCCTCCTCCCACAGCACAGGTCTTCTAGTAACAACGGGGGCCATCTCTCTTGCCCACGATGCGCTGGTCATCTGCATCATCGCTGCCTGGGGTGTCCGGTGTGTCTGAGTCACTGCTGTCATTGTCGTCGTCTTGCATTCCCACCACAGCTCTGCTCTCCCCATGCGCTGCTGCCCTCTCCTGGCAGCTCTGATAGGACTGTGCAGAAGGAACATGGGGGGTAAGTGATGAGCTCAGACCAATATGGCCACACAGAAACCAACCTCATCTTCCTCCTCCCATCTCACCTCCATGGGGTTGACAATGATGGTGAGGGCTGAGTCGTCCCAGAACATGTCACTCTCCTTGCTACCAGCTCCCGCACGGCCTCCCTCGGCAGCCCCTGGAGCCTCGTGCCCAGTGCCCCGGCGGTGCAGGGAGTGGATGCGCAGGATGCCCAGGATGACCATGAGAGCCAAGAAGCCCACGCACACCACGATGATGATGGTAGCTGCGCTGGGGACCACTGGAAGGGGAAGCATACATGTGAGGTTACAAACATCGGACCCAACAGAAACAAGGAGCCCTGGGACATCTGGAAGACTTAACACGTTTATGTGGGCAGACTTGTTTGTGGGCTGGAGCCCATTTTGTCAGATGCATGAAGTGGAAACTACCGTTTGGCAAGGACACACCCACCTTTGCATCTGTGTACACATCCGCTGCGCTGCAGATGTCACTTGGTGTGCCTGACAGAGTGAGCTCCAGCCTGCGCCTAACCAAATGTTAGTTTTCCAGGTGTCGCAGGACTCCTCGTCGTTTGTACTGCAACCGACTAACTCGGCTGCCTCCTGAAACGACCAAGCAAAGATTCCCAGCCTGTCTGGCCCTTTCCTCCCTGAGAGGCCAGGGGTACTTAGGGCAGCCCCCAGCTACAGGAATCTTGCCTGCTGGCATACCCAGCTTTGTGCCTGCTGCAGTCACACATGCCAAGCATGTCCCATCCTCCCTCATTGCCTTCTCAAACTCCCAGTACCCCTGCCCAGACTTTTGACTTCTTGAGCGTCCCAGCACAGCCCCCACGTGCCCTCCAGCCCCAGCTGCCTTCTTTGCAGAGACCCCAGCTCTTGGGGTAGCTCCAGTCAGTAGCACACACTAGGGGCAGCTTCTCCAGACTGGCTCTGTTGCACTCAGCCCTGCAGTGGAGGAAGATGGGGCAAATGGCACTAAGCTAGTACAAGCCTCAGGTCATGTTTGCACTGGATTGCTTCCCAGTGCAACCTTGCACCAGCTGCCCCTCCCTCCAGCAAGCAGCAGACGGCTAGAAGCCAGGAACAAGGGCAGCCTAGCCATTACCCCTCCAGCAGGGGCTGGGAGCAATACAGGCACCATTCTGCAGTTTTCTCTTCCCCCGCCATATAGAGAACCTGCCGGGATCAGTAAAGCTGGCTCTAGGGCTGCTTTGGGTTGGCCAAGTGGCACAAAGCAGCCGCATGTACCAATGAATCTGGCCACTGCTCTGCTCCCTTTCTTGTCCTTCTGTCACCTCCCCACTCTGGCAGCAAGAGCCAAGGCTTCCTTTGCAGCCTCCTCTCTGTCTACAGCTGCCTCCTTGGAGCTCTCTGCCTTGTCCAAAGCCTCTAGGCCCTGTTCTCCTCAGGTCACCTTCACCCTGGGCCTCCTCTTCACATTTGAATCCTGCTGCTGTGGCATCCTGGAATTGCATCAATGTGCCCTCTATGTAAATGTCAGATGAAGCAGTGCCTGCCCATGACTCTGCTCTCCTTCGCCCCTCCAGAAGGAGGATCTCAAAGCACTATTATGCATATCAACCAAGCTCAGACTGACAGCATGAGCTATCAGAGCTGGCACCCAGCAGTAAACTGCAGCCACCTCTGGGCTGAGTTCTAGTAGCTGGTAAACAATAGGATATGACAGAAAGCCAAGAAGAATCTGCTAAGTGGTTAAAACTGTAGGAAGGAGGAGTACATGGAGCCACACAAGAATCACCCATTACCAGCTTTTGCCCAGACCTGAGGCTTAATAATCTGACTCAGGGAGACAGTGAGAGGAGATCTGCAGTGACGTGAGGAGCCCTTGCTTTGGTTTTACATTTCACTTCAGTCACACCTCCCTCCTAGCACAGGGGTGGGAAATAATTTTTTCAGGGGAGGGGGGTACTTAATGAATTTTGCTACTGGTCATGGGTCAGCTTCTGCCCTCCAGAAAAGGCAGGGCTAGGGACAGAATGGGTGGGGCTAGAGATGGAAGGGGCGAGGCTAGGGACTAGCTTTCCCATAAGAGCTGTCTAGGGCCTGAGGCTTTGAATTAAAAACACAGAAAAGGGCTCACAGCTCCCGGCCTTGCCACTACCATGTTGCTGGGAGCCACTCAAGTTGCTGCAGCTATTTAAAGGGCTCCGGTCCCTGCCAGGATATTGCTGTGACCGGGAGCCAGAAGCCATTTAAATAGGACCCTGCTTCCTGAGCCCCTGCCTGGAAATTGAGTGGTACCGGCAGCAGGATATAAATAGAAAGTGGCCAGATGCAGTCCACGGGCCAGATCAAAGTGTTAGACGGGCCGGATCTGGCCCCTGGGCTGCATCCTCCCCAGTCCTGCCCTAGCCCCACACCGGGGCCAGCCCTGACTAAGCAGGAGGTTGCTCTCCTGCCAGTCACTCTCACCACTCCCTGCAGCACGGTGCTGCCTACAAGAGAGGTCAGTCCTGAAATGCAGACGGGGAGTCGCTGCACATTTCTGCACTAGTCTGCCCCCAGGGGCTGTCACCAGGCCATCGGCTCTACGTACTGGAGTTGCGATGGACATTGGCCAGGCTGTGCCCAGACAGTTCTGGTGGCAGGTGGTGGCCTCGGTGCAGCAGCTGCTGGGAGCTGAGGATGTGGTTAGGATGAGCGACCCGGTTCACATTGTGAAGAACATTCACCTGTGGGGGACAAGAGGGAGAGACTCAGCTTCCAGGCTTAGTGAGACCAGGCCTTCACACATACCCAGTGACTCATGGCTTGTACCTCAACTGTCAACTCATTACTGGAGTAGCGGCCATTCATCTCCGTGCAGGAGAGGCGGAATTTCCTCTCGTAGAGGGCAGCGCCGTGGCGGATGCGGTATGAGACCTGGCGCAGGATCTCCTCATACACCGCAATGCTCTCCACACCTGGGTGCAGGAGAAAAGGAGATGGATTCAGGTGCGGGCTCCCATGTTCAAATGATCAAGTTCCACCTGACATTATGGGATTGAGCTGTATGGGGAGGACAAAGCAGCAGAGCCATCCTGCCCGTAGGATGGTTCAGGACAGCCCCGTTCAGCCCTGGCTGGCCTGAGGGATTACAGGGAGGCAGGGGTGGGGCTGGTGCTAGCAGCAAGGGCCATACCAACTTTTGCACTCCCCAGCAGCAGCGGGAGCTACGGGAAGCAGAAGAATCCAGTTCCAGACTGCTCTGCTCCGCCATCTCCCAGCTGGGATGCTGGGAGCTGGGCCTAGGGGAGCACAGTGGGCTGGGGCTGGGTCTCTCTACTTCCCACCACGGCAGTGAGTACACGCTAGAGAGACCAGCCAGTAGGGTTGCCAGGTGTCCGGTTTTCGTCCAGACAGTCCAAAAAAACTGGACATGTAAAAGTTTGGTCTCCTGGGCTGTGCCGTTCAGAGGAAGGAGCTTGCAGGAAGAGCTGCAATGGGGGTAGCACAGAGGTGAGAGGAGGTGGGGTGGAGCAGGGGCCTAGGGCAGAGCGGGGGTGTTCCAGACCCCGCCCCCACAATGACAGCCCTTAGACCTAGAAGGGAGCAGCGCTAGGTGTGGCTCCCCTGAGGTGTCTGAGACCTCAAAGGACCCAAGCAATCTCTGCTGGCTGTCAGTAATGCCCATGGAAGGGAAGGGAGGGGCCAGCAGCCAGTATCAGTATCATGTGCATCACGTGCCAAACCAGCCCTAGGAATTGCACCTGCACACAGCCAGTGGCGTCCACTGCCGCCCAGCGACAGCATGAAAACTTCTACTAGAACTGGAGAGAAGCAAGCCACAGTGGGGCAGGAGGAATTGTGCCAAACAAGGGAAGGAACTCGGATCCCATACCCCAGCACTGTGAACCCACAGGAAGACCTAGAGCCCCATCACTAAGAGTCCAGGGAAGGGATGCACAGAATCAATCCTCCCCTGGTTGCTGCCAGGGGTGGGGGATACAATTGCCCAGGGGCTGGCCTACTTAAGGGGGCCAAGTCTCATGGGCTGTGTCCAGACTCAGGGGTTTTTTCGGGAAAAGTAGCCTTTTTCTGAAAAAACTTCACCTGCGTCTAGACTGCAGCCGCATTCTTTCGAAATTAAATCGAAAGAATGCGGCTTTTCTTTCGACGGTGGTAAACCTAATTCCACGAGGAAGAACGCCTTCTTTTGAAAGTGCTCTTTCGAAAGAAGGCGTTCTTGAAAGCAAACAGGCTTTTTCAAAAGAGAGCTTCCAGACTCACTGGGTGCTTTCTTTCGAAAAAGCGGCTTGCTTTTTCGAAATTCCGCGTGCAGTCTAGACATAGCCCTGGAGGCTGGGGGTTCCCTGCCACTTTTCAATTACGGTACCAACACGGTGGCAGGGGACCCCCGGCTTTTAAATCGCAGTAGCAGTGGCAGCTTGTGTGTGCCGTGTGCACCATCCAGCTGCTGACTGTGATCCAGCTCCACACCTATGTGGTGGCACTGCACCAGGTCAGCAGCAATGTGGGGCACCCAGAGCCACTGATAGGGCAGGGGGGCAAATGGGGCAGCTGCCCTGGGTCCTTTAAATCACCACTGAGACCCAAGCGGGACATGCCAGACTGCACTGGGGGAGCCTCCAGCCCTGCCCCTCTGCCCAAGGCCCCACCCCTTCCAGAGGCCTGAAGGCAGCCTCCCTCAGCTTGCCCAGGGCCTGGCAATTCTGTTGGCAACCCTGCTGGTCTCAAGAAGTGAGCTGAGGCCTCTCCCTCTCTAGCAGCCGACAAGCAACTGTGCCCAGGGGAGAGTGCACCTGTGATGGTGAAGTAGGCGGAGGTGTTGATGAGCTCCAGGCCCCGCTGCTGCAGGGATGCACCATCCAAGATTAGGTATTCCCTCTCCAGGTCCAGGTCATCGCCCACCAGGGAGATCTCACAGCCATCCAGGTTGTGGACAATCTCATCTGACATCCGTGTGTCTGTCACTATGAGGTGTAGAGACAGGAGACAGACAGGGGTCAAGAGATCACGAGAAGCAAGACCAGCGCTCAAAACAGAGTGTGCATGAGAAACCCTGGGCACCTCATGTCTGGACCGTACTACGGCATCATGCAAACCATGCCACACTCTGTGGCAGTGCTCACTGTGAGTGGCAGCTGTCCATCAGTGATGTTACTGGCTGGGGGGCTTGCCAACTCCTGTTTCTAATGACATCACTTCATCTTCCGACAATGGGCCAACTTGGAGGCTTTCACTGACAGCCCATCTTGTCTTTCTATCACCCTGTTACCAGCTCGCCCCGCTTCATCATCAATCAGATGGGACTTTTCTCAAAAAAGAAAAGATTCCATACAATGATCTCACAAATGCTGGCACCGCGCTCTTTGCCTTTTCCAAAACAGCCTCCATACTTTTAATGGGGCTAACACTGACCTGTCCTCAGCCGAGATAGTCATGACTACATGCGGCAGCAAGCCTATCCCTAGAAAAGGTGAGCAGGGATTGATTCCCATGGTCCGCAATGGAAGCCTGACCTTCCTCAGGGGAGATGGCTGTAGTTAGTCATAGAATACTAGGACTGGAAGGGACCTCGAGAGATCATCGAGTCCAGTCCCCTGCCCTCATGGCAGGACCAAATACTGTCTAGACCATCCCTGATAGACATTTATCTAACCTACTCTTCAATATCTCCAGAGATGGAGATTCCACAACCTCCCTGGGCAATTTATTCTAGTGTTTGACTACCGTGACAGTTAGGAGCTTTTTTCCTAATGTCCAACCTAAACCTCCCTTGCTGCAGTTTAAGCCCATTGCTTCTTGTTCTATCCTCAGAGGCCAAGTTTAACAAGTTTTCTCCCTCCTCCTGACACCCTTTTAGATACCTGAAAACTGCTATCATGTTCCCCCTCAGTCTTCTCTTTTCTAAACTAAACAAACCCAATTCCTTCAGCCTTCCTTCATAGGTCATGTTCTCTAGACCTTTAATCATTCTTGTTGCTCTTCTCTGGACCCTCTTCAATTTCTCCACATCTTTCCTGAAATGTGGTGTCCAGAACCAGACACAATACTCCAACTGAGGCCTAACCAGCAGAGTAGAGCAGAAGAATGACTTTTCGTGTCTTGCTCACAACACATCTGTTAATGCATCCCAGAATCATGTTTGCTTGTTTTGCAACAGCATCACACTGCTGACTCATATTCAGCTTCTCGTCCACTATAACGCCTATATCCCTTTCTGCCATACTCCTTCCTAGACAGTCATTTCCCATTCTGTGTGTGTGAAACTGATTGTTCCTTCCTAAGTGGAGCACTTTGCATTCGTCTTTATTAAACTTCATCCTGTTTACCTAAGACCATTTCTCCAATTTGTCCAGATCATTTTGAATTATGAACCTATCCTCCAGAGCAGTCGCAACCCCTCCCAGCTTGGTATCATCTGCAAACTTAATAAGCGTACTTTCTATGCCAATATCTAAATCGTTGATGAAGATATTGAACTGAGCCGGTCTCAAAACATACGCCTGCGGAACCCCACTTGTTATGTCTTTCCAGCAGGATTGTGAACCATTAATAACTACTCTCTGAGTACGGTTATCCAGCCAGTAATGCACCCACCTTATAGTAGCCCCATCTAAGTTGTATTTGCCTAGTTTATTGATAAGAATATCATGCGAGACCATATCAAACGCCTTACTAAAGTCTAGGTATACCACATCCACCGCTTCTCCCTTATCCACAAGACTCGTTATCCTATCAAAGAAAGCTATCAGATTGGTTTGACATGATTTGTTCTTTATGAATCCATGCTGGCTGATCCCTATCACCTTGCCACCTTCCAAGTGTTTACAGATGATTTCCTTAATTACTTGCTCCATTATCTTCCCTGGCACAGAAGTTAAACTGGTCTGTAGTTTCCTGGGTTGTTCTTATTTCCCTTTTTATAAATGGGCACTATATTTGCCCTTTTCCAGTCTTCT